CCGCCGCCGCCATAGCCGCTCGCGCGGGGGGCCGAGCCGGCGCGCGGCCGCCCCGGATCACGTGGGCGGGGGGAGGAAAGGCATGGAAGAGCCTTAAAGGAGCCGCTACGCGCTTTCTGGCCATTTTCCCCTGGGAGCGGCCCTAGAAATGGCGGTGGCTGGTCGAAGCTGGGGACCGCAGTCGAGAATTCGTGCCATTCCTCACATTTGCTTTGCGGGGAACCGAGGGCGAGGTACGCCCGGGTCTAGGTGTGGCTTCTTCATCCGCACCTGGTTTTAGGTAACTAGAGGGGCATCTGAGCTCCCCCGGCTATTGACAGGGCGGCTGTATTTCCTTGTGGCCTTCGTGAGCTTCTCCTGTCTTAGGTTGCTTTGCTATCTTTTTAGTTTCTGGGTCACCAGATAGAAGACGTGGCCTCACTTCTCTAACGAGTAACAAGGGGGCTATGAGGTCGCACGGAGAACCCCTTTCTTTACTCCTGGCCGGGTCTGACATGCTGCTTCATGCCGCCTGGAGCAGCACTGGCTTTTGGAAATCTGGGTCTAAGTGATTCGTAGGTTTAGAAGGGCTTGCTGTGACATCACACGCACTAGGGCTCCAGGTAAGCCCCCAGCGGCCCCAGAGTCATTATCTGGTGACACTGAAGTAAGTAAGCTTTTTTACTAAACGTTTCACAAGCCAAGTCAGGCATTCCATGGTTCATTCGTAGACCAACAGTCAATGGAAACATGAATATTATCACAAAACACACAATTTTGGTAGTAGTATTTAGGGTTCCATCCCTTTGGATACTGCATTCTGGCCAGTTTGGAAATAAGTATGCTTCACATGCAGCATTTGACATTGGCAGGTAGGTGGGTGTCCAATGCCTTCTGGGAACTGTAGTACTTTTGGGTTTAAAACGATTCCAGAGCTTTCTGGGATTTGTAGTATTTCCTACACCCTAAGCTACTAAATAGTCGTTTTTAGTTTTACCCCTGAACATGGAACCTTTCCCCCAGACAGAATTATGTTTGCAAGTTCAGTGAATGAATAAGCCACCTGTAGTCTGCCCCATCTTTATTCTATCGATCTCCTCAAATTGGAGGAGTTTCATGTTTTATCATCACCATTGTCAATTGCTGCACACTTGGAATGAGTCCCTGGCCAGAGGAGCCCCTCTGCCCTAAAAAGGCTGGGCTCCTTCAGCCATGGGACCTGCATGAATTATGGCCTTTGAGGACTGAACAGACAGTATCAGAGGGAGAGGCTGTCTACGATGAGATACTCATAGAATTGTTAAGTGCTGTCACAGCCATCCTGTATAGGGTTTCTGTGGAGCGGCTGGTGAGTTTGAACCATGAACCTTATGGTTAAGTGCTTATCCTTTGGGGGGAAAAAGGGCCATAATACACGTAATTGCCAGAGTATTAAGAAAAAACGAATTTTTTTCTTTTAAATTTTTTATTTTGTGGAAAATAAAAGCAGAAAAACTAAAACCCAAAACTCCAGAAAAAATCCTAAAAAATACGTTTTGTTTTCTTAAAAAATACTGTATAAGTCTCTACTCCTTTCCTTCCTCAACAGCCTTTCTTGTGTCGTTTCTCCTAAGTGCCCTCCCCCCAAACCCCACTTCCCAATATATCTACTCAGGATGCTCACCTCCATGTTCTTACCTGATACTTTTACTTTGTTCTAAAACTTGTACCTGCTGTCCCCTTTCCCCAGCATGCAAGAGCTTTCTCCCATTCCTTTTCGGGGATTCAATAATCTTATCCCTCTATCAAGCCCTCTCCCAAGAATCTATTCTAAACAGGAACGTGTAAATTGTCCCTTGCCAGACTCCCTCCCAAGCCCCGCCCACCCAATCCCTACCTCAAGAAATGTCAGAACCTTCTCCTGGGCAACATTAGCCCAGAATAAAACATTTCCCAGTCTTTTTCCTATTCACTCTATAGGACCCTTCCCCTCCTTACACTTATCCATGCTCCTCTAAGAGAAGAAAATCTTTCTATGTGACCCCATATTCTCTTGGCCTTCTCAAAGAGCTCTTTCCATCTCTGTTCTTTCTTCAGTTCTGAAGAGCAGGGTCTTCTTACCAAGGAATTCTCAACCCTCCCCTCAGAATGTGTGTCTGCTCATATAACCCAGTGTACCTTTCTTCCCTAGACCCCCCACCCACTATTCTCCTAGATCATAGGAGGCTCCTTTCCACCCAGCCTAGGGACCCCAGCCTCCTGCCTTTGCATCCGTCCTGTTAGTGGATGAGGCTAGCGGATGAGGACATTGATTTCCGCCACACTGGCTTCCAGCACATTCTCAGCTGTGGTTTTGCCATGCTGCTCCTTGAGGTGTCGCCTGATGGCAGGCTTGTGGGCAAAGCGCACGTCGCAGTAGGAGCAGCGGTAAGGCCGGGCTCCAGAGTGCAGGTTGAGGTGGTCGTGCAGTGTGGACTTTTGTGTGAAGCACTTGCCGCAGATGCCACATGAATGTGACTTGACCCCACGGTGCACGTTCATGTGGCGGTTGAGGTTGCTGCTGTGGTTGAACTGCTTACCGCAGCGTGGACACATAAAGATAAAATGCTGTGCCCGCATGTGGAAGACCAGCTTCTCCACGCCCTGGAACACTTCTGGGCACTTAGTACACTTGATGTTCTTCAGGGGGTTCCCACCTGAGAAGCCCCCGGGCAGGGGCCCCCGGCTACCCCCTGCACCCAGGCTGCCCCCCGCCCCCCTGGCAGCCATGGCCACCGCTGCTGCCTCTACTAGACCTGAGGTGGCCCCCACACTGGCCCGGCCCCCAGGGATTAAGAGCAGGCCCTCCCCTTCTGCGTCCTCAGATAGGCTGTAGCAAGCCTTCACCACACCCTGTGGAGGAGCCACAGTGCTGGGGGGCACGCTACTCTGGGCCAGTTCTCCAAGGTGGCTGCCCACAGAGCTCCCAATGCCTAACCCTCCTGCCAGGCCTCCAGGGGGTTTGAGCCGGTGCGCCACCTCCAGGGCTGACTCCACCTTGACAATGCAGATATCAGACACATCCTCATCCTCATCCTCATCTTCCTCCTCAGCCTTCAGCTCCAGATCCTCATCCAGAGGAAACTCCAGTTTCACAGGCCGTAGGAGCGGAGGGGGTAGAGGGGGCGGGGGAGGGGGCTTTGGGGCCGGTTTTGGGGTCCTGGCAGGAGGGAGGAGGGACTTGGTGGCGCTGACCCCGCTCACAAGGCTGGCCTCACTGACCCCGTCTTCTTTTAGGCCAATCTTGGGCTCGATGAACTGGCTGAGGGCATTCCGGCATTTCTCCACCACATGTTCCATCTGCAGGTACGAGGCAGCGGTCAGATAGTTGACGATGTCCCTGACTGCGAATTCCAGTGCGCCCGTGTAGCAGGAGAGGAGCAGGTCCGCCACAATGCGCGCACTGTGCATCAGTGAGACCTGCAGCTCAGAGCTGGGGTTCAGCAGGAACTGGTCCCGTAGGAACGGCGAGCAGGCGGCCAAGATGACCTTGTGACCACGGAACTTGAGGCTGTCGGCCACAATGGTCACATCGCAGAACCGCTCCTCAGCGCGGAGCTGGTTCATGTTCCGCAGCGTAGCAGCCTCGTGGCCAGGCAACTGGAAGCGCAGGACTTCCACCCCAGAGGCCATTGTGGTGGGGGTGGGCAACCCTGGTTGGGAAGGAAACGGGTCAGAGACAACGGTCTCTGGCTCTCCAAAGCCAACGCTTCAGGCCACTAGTCCCCATTCTTGCCCAGTCCCCAAGCATCCGATCTCCCAGTCTTCAGGGCTCTTCCTCAGTTTCCCCTGTCCCCCAGGGTGGCGCTGTCCCTCGGAGAGGAGGGAGGCGTGGTTCCCGGGGGCGGGGCAGCCGTGTCCACACCCCCCTCCCCCGCCAGGCTGCCGGCAGGGATGGGGCAAGCTAGCGCGCGCGCCCACGGGGGAGGGCTGAAAGGAGGGGGGGTAGAGACCTGGGGCTCCCTGCTTCTAGGCAGCCCGGGTTGCTGGCTCTTCCCACCCCGCCCCCTTTACCCGCCACCTCGTTCCTCCGCCCCCCCCTTTACACGCGCCTTTCACGTTCGCCCCCCCAGCTGCCGCCTGCACGCATCGTGCACGCCCCCCCCACGCTCAGAGTTCTGTGGCACACTCCCCCCACCAGCCCCACGACCCTGAGTGCACGCGCCTCTCACCTGGCCCGGCTCCGCGCGCTGTTTTTTTTTTTTTTTTTTTTTTTTTTTTTAATCCCCTATTTTCCCCACCCCCCCCAAAAGCTGGCGGCGCCCCCCACACACACACTCGGGCAGGTCCTGGGCAGAGCGCAGGCGCGGGGGTGCACGGGGCGCGCGCGC